GAGGCCGCTTGCTTTGGATGTTCAGGCTTTGGCCAATCGATTTGTGAGGTTGGACATCTCTGAGCCTAGCCGAGTGTTAGCTTGCACGGTTGCTCGTTCTTTATTATTGGAGCGTATCCGTGATCGACAGTTTGATGATCCCCATTTGTGTGTCCTGAAAGACACGGTGCAGCGTGGAGGTGCCAAGAAGGTGACCTTAGATGATGATGGTGTCTTGAGACTGCAGGGGCGAGTTTGCGTGCCCAATGTTGATGAGATTCGAGAGTTGATCTTAGCGGAGGCCCATAGCTCCCGATATTCTATTCACCCGGGCGCCGCGAAGATGTATCAGGATCTGAGGCAGCACTATTGGTGGCGCAGAATGAAGAAAGATATTGTTGAATATGTGGCTCGATGTTTGAACTGTCAGCAGGTTAAGTACGAGCATCAGAGGCCTGGTGGACTGTTTCAGAGGATTGAGCTTCTCGAGTGGAAGTGGGAGAGGATTACTATAGATTTTGTTACTGGACTCCCGTTGACCCGGAAGAAGTTTGATGCGATTTGGGTCATTGTTGATAGGCTGACCATGTCAACGCATTTTGTTCCTGTTGCAACCACTTATTCATCAGAGAGGTTAGCTGAGATCTACATCAGAGAGATTGTTTGCCTTCATGGGTTGCCGGTATCTATCATTTCGGACTGGGTACGCAGTTTACCTCGCACTTCTGGAGAGCAGTTCAGCGAGAGTTGGGCACCCAGGTTGAGTTGAGCACAGCATTCCATCCTCAGACGGACGGACAATCCGAGCAGACTATTCAGATATTGGAGGACATGCTCCGAGCTTGTGTTATTGACTTTGGAGGTTCGTGGGATCAGTTCTTGCCCTTAGCAGAGTTTGCCTACAACAACAGCTACCAGTCCAGCATTCAGATGGCTCCATATGAGGCGTTGTATGGTAGGCGGTGTCGATCTCCGGTTGGGTGGTTTGAGCCGGGAGAGGCTAGGTTGTTAGGTACAGATCAAGTTGAGGAGGCCTTGGACAAGGTCAAGATCATTCAGGATAGGCTTCGGATAGCTCAGTCCAGGCAGAAGAGCTATGCAGATCGCAAGGTCCGAGATGTGGCTTTCATGGTTGGTGAGCGAGTATTGCTCCGAGTGTCGCCTATGAAGGGCATGATGAGATTTGGAAAGAAGGGCAAGCTTAGCCCTAGGTTCATTGGCCCATTTGAGATTCTCGACCGTGTGGGAGAGGTGGCTTATAGGCTTGGCTTGCCGCCTAGCTTGTCAGCCGTGCATCAAGTTTTTCATGTGTCCATGCTTCGGAGGTATCACGACGATCCAGCCCACGTGTTAGATTTCAGCACTGTCCAGTTGGACAAGGATCTGTCTTATGAGGAGGAGCCGATGGCTATTCTAGATCGGCAGGTTCGACAGTTGAGGTCGAAGAGTTTTCCTTCAGTGCGTGTTCAGTGGAGAGGTCAGCCTCCTGAGGCATCGTCCTGGGAGTCCGATTCTGATATGCGGAGCCGTTATCCTCATCTTTTTCCCGACTCAGGTACTTCTTTCTTTTGTCCGTTCGAGGACGAACGGTTGTTTTAGAGGTGGAGAATGTGACGACCCAAAGGGTCATCACCTGTTTTCTCATTCATTCCGTGCTTCCGAGGCCTTGAAAACCTCATTTTTAGTCGTCTCGATTTGCATGCACAGTACGGGCGCGTAGCCGGAAAGCTTAAATATGAATTCTGTATGAAAAATGATGAATTTTGGTATTAATATGATTAAAGTTGACTATGGTCAACATTTTGGGTAAACGGACCTGGACCCGTGATTGGACGGTCCCGGAGGGTCCGTAGAAAAATATGAGACTCGGGCATATGCCCGGAGTCGAATTCCGAGGTCTAGAGCCCGAGAAATGAATTTTTCTGTGAAATTATTTTTCTGAAATTAATATGGAAATTTGAAACGAAAATGGATTATAACGTGTTGGTATCGGGCCCGTATTTTGGTTCCGGCGCCCGGTACAGGTCTTACATGTGGTTTAAGCGCTTTCTGTGAAATTTGGTTGAAATCGGACGTCATTTGACGTGTTTCGGACCTAAATATCTAAAAATGAAAATTCATGAAGTTTGAAGAAAAAGTGATGATTTTGAGGTTTGATTCCTCGTTCTTGATGTTATTTTGGTGATTTGATCGCACGGTTAAGTTCGTAGGATGTTGTTGAGTTAGTGTGTGTGTTTGGTTAGGAGCCCCGAGGGCTCGGGAGTGTTTTCGGAGGTGTTCGGGGTAGTTTTGGACTTAGGGAGTTAGCAGATTTTCTGCAATTTTTACACAGGGATTTTTCTTCATCGCGTTCGCACTAGCCCTCCCGCGTTCGCATAGGTTTGCTCCCTTCCTCCTTCGCGTTCGCGTTCTGGCCATCGCGATCGCGAAGCTTTGCTGCTTCCTTCAACGTGTTCGCGTGTCTCCTCACGCATTCGCGTAGGCCCAGACCCCAGACATTTACTCTACGCGTTCGCAGCCCTCCTGTCGCGAACGCGATGCTTCCCAGCCCCCCCCTTCTTCGCGAACGCGACCCCCATGTCGCGAACGCATAGAACAAAAACGCCAAGTTATATTTTTAAGTTTTCAAAATCAGAACATACGGGTTTAGTCCAAAGTTTTCACGAGCTCTCTTCTTCCCCAAGCTCTAGGAGTCCATTGAAGCCCCCATTCTTCAAGACCATTTGGGTTAGTAATTTTCCACCTATTTCCTTCATTTTCTCTCATTAATTAGTGAATTCCTAAGCTTAAATCACATAGATTAGGGTGGAAATTGGGGGAATTGGGTAGAGTTAGGGCTTTTCAATTTCCTTCGATTTAGACCTCGTTTTGGGGTCGAATTTGAAAATAAATTGTATATCCGGGCTCGTGGGGGAATGGGTGATATGAATTTGGTCCGAACCTCGTGCTTCGACCAAGCGGGCCCGGGGTCAATTTTGGAATTTTTGGAAGAAAGGTTGGGAACCTATATTTAGGCATTGAGTTTGATTTGTTTAGCTATTATTGATACTATAAAGTCGTTATTTCATAGATTTGATTGAGTTGGAGCCGAATTCGAAAGGGAAGGCGGTCTTTGTGGATTGATTTAGCCGTGGGAGTTGAGGTAAGTGTTTGTTTTAACCCTAGCTTGATTTGTTTAGCAACTGTTTTGTGCAAATTCTAAACTTCCAGCCACGAGTGCACGTGTTTGGAGGTGCTGTGGGACCTTGGGGAGTGACCGGTCTTAACGATTTGCACCTAGTCGGGCTGAAATCGCTTTCAAGGCAGTGGCTTGCCACGACACAGTATTTTTGATAAGTTGTTCTTCTTTCCTTCTTGTTCTTAATCAATATTATCTACTCATTTTCCTTACGGTTGTTACTATGGTTGACTGTGTTGGGGAATTTACACCAAACGCAAAACCAATATTGCCGTTTGTTGTACGTCTTAAATATGCTATTACCATCGTTATGTACGCGTGGGCTTGGTTGATGGTTCACAATTAGCAATATAAAAACGTAGTTATTTCCTATACCTAAATGTCGATAATTTCCACACATTTGTTCAATGAGAATGTGGTTCCCGAGTTCTATGTTTACTCCTCGACCTTTCAGTCAAAGTTGCAAAAAACCGACATCTTGTGAATTCACAAATACATAATCTTGCCAAAAAAAAAAGGTCAATGAGAAATATAACTACCAGTCCAAAGGTTTGTCACTTTTGGCTTTTCAAATTTTAAAACAAAATCAAAATTTTGAAAAAAAATAAGAAGTTTTTTATTTTATCTTTGATAGGAATATTCTTACAATGTAGTTAAGTGATGATAACTTGCTTGAAAATAAAATCCACAAACATTAAATTAAAGTGCAGGAGTAAAGAGATATGGAGATGCAGTACTCCCTCCGGTTCACAATAAGTGTCCAATTTATTTTTAGCACGCCCATTAAGAAAATACTAAATTCTATACAAAAATACCTACTATGACTAAACTACCCCTAATTAAACATTTAATGTGAGGAGTAAGAAAACTTTTTAGGGATATGTACGTAGGGGTTATTTTGTGAAAACATATTGAATTCTTTCTTGATTACATAAGTGGACACTTATTTTAAACCAAAATGAAAAAGTAAATTTGACACTTATTGTGAACCGGAGGGAGTAGCAATATTATTTATGAGTTGGTCAATTTAGCGATGATGAATTAATAGCTTGGTAAGTATTAGGTAAGAAGAATTTATTGATAGGAGATTGATTATTCATTTATTTTGTGTAATTAGAGATTAGATTACGCGTAGGCCAAAGCTGCCTAAGAACTTTCACTGTCATTAATTACTTTGTTTTTATCTTTCTTCTTTTGTGGGCATGTAATTATGAATAGTACCGTTTTACCATTTGAATCAACGCGGTGTGAACAAAGTAGAGAAACTTCCTTCTCAGCACAATTGCAGACGCAGACACGCCATATCTCAATGAGTCAATTCCAAATCCTGGCACATAAGTCCATTCAGAATCCGATTATTGCATATTAATTTAAAATTACGGTAGGAAGCCATAAACCTTAAATCTTGAATCCGCCTCTGCAAATACTAATACGCAATAACATTTGCAAAGGCCAAACTTGTACACAAATGAGCTAATTATCCCACGGGATAAGGAGTATGCATGCCACTTCTAAGAGAATTCACATTAATTTACTCGTTACAAGCTCTAAAATGTTAGTACTAAAAGTAATTGATTTAGCATGTAGAGATTTTCCAACATTATTATATTCGAATGTGGACTTAAAGCAACAAGAGGAAAAAATACGTGGCGTGAAATAGAATTTGCAAATATTGTGGCGTGAAATGGAATTTGCAACTTAAGTCCCTACTGCAACTGAAAAAGAAAAAAAGAAAAAAGAGAAGACCTAAATTCTCAATTTTAACCCCAAATTACTCCTATATATCTATTTGGTATCTATCCTCCCACCCCCTCCCCCCCCACCCCCCCCCCCCCACTAAAAATCTCGTCTCCAAAGAATAAGCAGCAAGAACAGGACTTCTCAACTGATAATTCCGATTCTGTAGTCGACCTTTTATAACAAACCCAAATTCCTCTTTCTCTCTCATTGAAAATTTGGAATTAGAATTAGGCCAAGATGGTGACTGGTTGCTATCATTCTCTCAAGTGTTTTACTCATGAATATGTGAAATTCTCCAGTTAGGTCAGGTTTCAATTTCTTCTCCACCCAGAATTAATGTTTTTCTTGCTAATCTTTTCAACTTTTGACTTGAGTTGTTCGTTTATTTTTTACAGGTGCTGAGTCCGTTTCTCTCTTAACAAAATTCAAACGTGCTATGATTTTTCCTTCAAACTGCTCTAAATTTCTCTGTTTCCTCTGTTTCGTTCCTTCAAACTGAATTTTTCATAGTTGTTTAAAATAAATCCATGGCCAATTTCCAAACACCTTTCCTCTCACCACCCTTTTCATTTCTCTGAATATGGATTTTTATTCTCGAGTTTTCTATCAAAACCTGTTTTTGTTACTTGCTACCGTTTTGGTCTCTGTTTCCATCTATTTGCTTCCTCTGTTCAGCTTCATCCCCACATTGTTCCTCAGGTATCAAGTTTCATTCTTTTCATTAACTTTATTTTGTTTGTGATGAAACCATCCTCCATATTTTTTTTTAAAAGTTTCCTTTTTTTTTTGTTGGGAATTACAGATTAAGAAGGGGTCACGCTCCTTTAAACGACAATTCAGATTTTTTTGACGTTCTGCCTGAAGAAGAAGACCAAAAAGAATCCGACAATGTTAAGTCTGAGAAAGAATTAGAACCCAAGTTCGAAGATTTTGAGGAAGTTGTTGAGTATGCGGATTCAGACAAGAATGACAAGTTGCAGAAAACTGAGTTTTGTTTTAACTTTAAATTCCCAACCTATGAGGAATTTAGTAAGAGCAAGAATGAAACTGCTGAACTTGTCACCTCTGAGTTTGTATCTGTGAAGAATTATAGCAGCTTAATTCAAGAACCAGAAGTTGTGAACCTGAATGTTAAAGAAACTGTTTCTATTCCAATACATGTTCCTAGTAAAAAAGAAGTCATTCAGGAGGAAGATGAAATTAAAGAAATTGAGGGAATGAAATTCATGATAGGAGAATCAGATACTGTATGCAAACAATTTTTAGGTGATTCAGATTTTACTGATGACTTTCTGTTTCAATCAGAAAAAGATTCGTTGAGTACAGATTCAGATTCTGTATCTGTTGGTTTTGAGCATATGCGTTCTCTTATGAGCAGGTTAGTAAATTCCTACAGTGATGGATTTTTATCAGATGATGACTTTGGAGGTGAATGTGAGCTTGATTCTTTGAATGATATTAATGCTTATTATTCAGAAGCAAAAAATCTTGAATTGTCTGAAGAAAGTCTTGAAACTGAGAATTTTGAGGACAGTGATCATGATATAATGGAAGAGTTGAGCAAATTAGAACAAGAGGATTCAGAATTTTTATCACAGAATGATTTTAATGAAGATTTGGACACGGCTAAAGTTGTAGAATTTGTTACAGAAGATGACAAGTTAATAATAAATGGTTCAATAGAGTCTGAAAATCTCAAGTCAAACAATGCAGCGGTTGTTGATTCAACTGGGGATGCAAACAAATTAGAGTCATTGTGGGAACATCAAGAATTGATTGAACAATTAAAGATGGAAATTAGAAAAGTCAGAGCCACGGGTTTGCCTACTATTTTGGAAGAATCTGAGTCTCCAACAATGGACGAATTACAACCATGGAAGATTGATGAAATGCTTCACCGTGAAGATTGCATGAGCGAACTTCACAAATTCTACAAGAGTTACAGAGAAAGAATTCGCAAATTTGACATTTTGACGTATCAGAAGATGTATGCAATAGGTACGTCACAACTCTAAACTACGTAATTACCTTTTTATACATTGTCAATATTTGGCGCATAAAAGTTAAAACTCTAAGCGTCATTATGTTAGTCTTTTCTTAGCGGGTGCACAAGGATTAGTGTCCACCGTTATCATGATATTTCATTGATGTGAACCAATTAGTAATACGAGTGAAAATAATAAAGTGGCTCACCTTTAATTATTTCTAAAGTTTAATATTGGACCCACAAGATCTAGTTTGTTGGGGCTCCTGAAATTCATAATAGTAACATGAAATGCAACACATTGGATTCATGATGTAAGGAACAGAGGTCTGCCCCAGTGAAAAGGCTTACTTCTACCTTTCTCCTATTTTATGTTATGTCCATGTGAAAAACAAAAGGTTAGATAATGATACACTCATACACATTTGACATTTTTAAATGTTTATACCGTTTGAGTAGGTCAAAAATGTTGTTTAAACACAACAAGATGTCCTTATTATATACTACTGCACTTGCTAGAAGTATGTACATGTTTCTTTCTTGTGAAGCTGTGTAAACAGAATACACAAGTAAAAGAACCATTTGAGTATGACCATATCTGGAAAGTTGTATGTTTTATACTTTCATAGTTCATACCCATACGTTTGTTGGCCAACAACAAACAATTTGCTTATAATCTTGACCTTGAAATTTATTGAATTTGTTAGTATTGACTGGTTAAGTACCATGGCGGAATCGTAAGGGGTGTCAAAATATAAATAAAGGGAGTCAACATATAGTGTATGTATATATAAAAAAATAAAAATTACCTAGCTAAATAGTGTAATTTTCAGGCAAAACATGTTGCATAAGGTGGCTCCGCTTACTTAGCGGATCATAGTTTTCTTCCCTAAAAATGTCCATCTAGTTGCTTCGCAAAATTCCTTATTGCTTCTTGGAAAATCGTTTGTGTGCCACCTATAGCTTGAAATTGTTAATTCAAAATCACGAGCTTTTGAATTTGGTTTCTCACAAAGTATATTGTAGCTAATTTGCTTTAAACACTAGTAGTTTAAAAGGATCTTTTCAAAATATGGCTCTAATCCAACATGTTTTTACAGGTTATTTGCAGAAAGATCCTCAAAAAGATCCACTGCAATTACTCTTCAACCAGAAATCTTCAGGTCCAACACTAAAATCCCTTGTCTCACAAAATATTAGGCTATTCAAACATAAAAGTCATGACGACATTGACCCAATGGTAAAGTTTATCAAAGAATTGCAGAGTGATTTGGAAGTGGTATACGTTGGACAGATGTGCCTTTCCTGGGAATTTCTGCACTGGCAATATATGAAGGCTTTAACTTTGTGGGATTCTGACCCACGTGGGATACGAAAATACAATGAAGTTGCTGGAGAGTTTCAACAGTTTCAAGTGCTCATGCAAAGATTTATAGAAAATGAACCTTTTCAGGGACATAGAGTTCAATATTATATCAAGAGCAGATATGATCTTCGTAATCTTCTTCTTCAAGTTCCTGTTATAAGAGGTTAGCATCTGATTAGACAGCTCTCTTTTTCCTCATGTTACTTGATTGTTCGTAGATAAAATTAGATGTGGCAAATGAGAAGATTCTTCACATTTGGGGTGGTCAAAAGGGGTCAAATCAAAAAATGAGTCATGATCCAATTTACCAAAAGTTTACTTAGGCTCAAGATGAGTCAAAATAAGAGTAACGAGTCATAGCCCGGCTCATCCAACATGACCCGACCTCTCCTCCTTTTTATTTTTATTTTGGAAAAGAAAAAAAAACTTAATTTTTTTTAAAACTTTAGCTTTTACATAATTCTAGATCTCCAAACTTGAGTTTGGATTATACTGGTTGAGTTACACTATTTTGATCCATTTTGACTCAATAGTTTGATGGTGGTAGTTTTGGGTTCAACTTGGATAAAGTTAACAAATATGTCACAACTCAACCCCGTTAAACTTGGACTAGTTGAGCGAGTTACTAAAAAATGGATTAATTGCCACCTCTAGATATGGACACCTCTTCTCCTATAAAAGGTAGTGAAATATAGTGTATTAAATTTACAAAGTGATATGCAGATGACAGAGTGAAAGATAGAAACAAGGCAAGAACAAGAGAGAAAGATGACTATTCAATTAAAAATGACATGCTAGTGGAGATACTGGAAGAATCAATACGAATATTTTGGCGCTTTGTTAGAGCTGATAAAGATTGCTATAGTGTGATGGCAAAAGCGAAAGGTCAAAAGGGAATTCATCCAGAGGTTCAAGAAGAGGATGACTTAGAGCTTTTACTGGAGATCAGAAAAAATCTTGAAAAGGTTAGTTTCTAAGTTTGTCACAGAGATTTGCTTTCTATAGTGATTATATCATATGAAAGCTTAAGATGGTAGAGATAAGAATATTTTTATTTACTTATTTATGTTAAGTCTCAAAATATCTGTTTTTATAATTGGAATCTACAATGACATGGACTTAATCTCTATTTTTATGGAAAAATGCAGAAAGAGAAGAAGCTGCAGGATGTTTTGAGAAGTGGAAATTGCATATTAAGGAAGTTCAGGAAGCAAAGAGAAGAGGATTCAGATCATGTACTTTACTTTTTCTGTCAAGTAGACATGAAATTAGTGGCTAGGGTCCTGAACATGTCAAGGCTAACGAAAGATCAACTAGTGTGGTGTCACAACAAATTAAGCAGGATTAGTTTTGCACATAGGAAAATACATGTAGAACCCTCTTTTTTGCTCTTCCCTTGTTAATAATAGTCAATTTTTAGTATCAATTATGCCAACAAATTTCTTTGTTTATTAAATCTTTCGGCCGTGAAAGGAGGTAGCTTCATCCTTGTCTATTTATCTTTTACAGTACGAAGTTTCCCCAACTCCAAAGAGTGACTTGCGAACTAAAGGTAACTTCTGATGACCATGAAGTGACATGTTGGGAAAGTCGGTCTCTAGCACGAAGAAACGTGCACTGGACTAACTGCATCACTTTCTGTAATATAAAGGTGAAAAGAAAAGAGAGAAGGACCTCGCACACTCATACATTCCTTCTATTTTAAGGACTGAATCCGATTTCTGACAGTAAATCCACCAATTTTACTGTGTGTGTAAACTACTAGTACTACAGTGGGGTTCTCGCATAATTAAGTAACACACCTTACTGCACGGTAAAGAAATCATCCGAGGATAAGCTACGGGTAATTCATATTCGGAAATTTAGATTAAATGCAATCGAGCATGCACTGACTTCTGTTTACATAAAACTATCCGTTAATTGAGTAAAACAATACAACAACATCAACAGTCCACTGAAAAAACAATACAACAACATCAACAGTCCACTGAAATCACACAAGTGGGGTCTCTGGTGATTGAGTAAAACAGTGAAAGATGGAATATAAGGAGTGAATCCACTGTTAGATTTATCTATGGGGCTATAAAACAAAGAACACTACTCAAAACTAATGTCGTCGATACTTAAGGCTCAATTCATTAACCATAGATATTATTTCCACACATGGTTGAAGTACTGTGGGAAACAATTAGAAGAATAGTACCTAATCCTGATAACCTTTTGTTCGAGCTTGAGTTGAAGGCTATCCAAATATTTAAGAGACTACGAAGTTGTGAGGGGCACATACCGTACCACTTCAACTTTTTTTCTCCCCTGTTTTCATGCGTCGTTTTCTAGTTACTTTTTGAAGAAAGCACCAGGACGATGGTTTTAGTATGACCTCCCTGCTGAAAGTTTGTTCATTCCTTTCTGCACGTCCAACTTTGTAATAAAGTTAGAGTAGAGGAAAGCTTCCAAAACAGACAGTAGCGAATGGATTGTCATAAGATCGAATGGTAATACTTGGCATCTTAGCACTGTAGTAAGTAAGCATCTTAGTACTGTAGTAAGTAAGCTGCTCAGATGACATCTCAAAACGGAATTCTTAAACATTCCATCACAATAAAATCCTTTCTAGATATCAATATTTAACATAACAAGACTTGATTCATTTAGTTAGCCATTGAATACGCACCCCCCAAAAGGACCATAGCTCATAAGTTTTGAGTTAATTGCACAAATTAAATCCCTGCACTGTGGAAAAAGCCATATGAAATGTGCAAGAACTGTACACCAGAGAATCTTACAGCTAAGCAGAAATACAAACTTGCGGTAAGGACAGCAGGCATGAAGAGAGTTGTTCTAAAAATAGATCAGTTCAAATAATGCCATCATCTCTCTGTTTCACCAATGCCACCATCTCCAGACCTTGAGTCTGTTCCTCATCTTTCTTTTTCTCCTTTTTGTTTTTCCTATTTAGGTGGGACCCTATTTGCATTTATTCGATTTAATCCCCCCTGGCAAAGGATGCAGGCTACTGAGCAAGGCGAGGTCTCCAGACAGGGCTTCTGGTAAAGGCACATAAGAAAACATGTTATCTTACAAAAATACAACTAGATTAATGTGTGCTTGAACTTAATGAGCACTCATTACTGATTATTTTTCTGAACCCCAAAAAGAAAAGAAAAGAACACCCATGGATTAAGGAACCAGGGAAACCAAGAGAAGTATAACCTTTGGTCATTTGGTGGTGGTCTCCATCTTTTCTCGCACCTGGTCATAAGCATTAAGCAGGTCTGCCCGTTTATTTGCTACTTCTACTAGAGTTTCCAGAGCTGCAAAAGATAAGGGCACTCATGTTATCAAGATGAGGCAAAGAAGGATTGCATACATAGATAAGCCACAAAGCTAATGCCAGATTTCAGTGAGTCCTGTAGATGGCTAGAAACACCAGTTCTAGAGTTCATACAGTATATTTGGCTAGAGAAGAGAGAGACATACACCACCCTGTCTCTCACGCACACGTCATTTCTATTTAATATTCTAAACTCTCAAAAGGTTAACTCCGCCCGGGATTTTTTGGCACTCCAAGTCACTTTGATCTCCAGTATACCTAGGTAAAAAGGTACTTCTGATGGTTCTGGAGGTATGAAAGCAATTTACCTGTCTCAAATGACAATTGGGCAGCTCGAAGCTTGGGAGAGACCAGCATCCCAAACATGGATAATGACTTGAGCCGCTCTTTTCGGGCCTAGTAAAGAAATACAGTAACATTAAATTTGATGTATGCAATAATGCTCAAAGCCAAATAAATAAAAAGAGAGGTAACCAGGAAAATAGATTAGTAAGATTGATCTGAGTCCAAAAAACATCTGTAAATGGGAAAGTTAAAAGGTATTGCCAAAAAAGTATGAAATCCAATTAGGTATCTTTGATTATATATCTAAGCTGAACTCTGAAAATCCAACTTTTGCAGATTTATTAATCTTGATCTTAACCAAAAGGTTGAGAAAAGTAAAACTCAAACCTTGTAGATTTGCACTTCACTTATCCAATTTTGGGTACTAGCTCGGATATCAAAACCAAGGAGAGTTGATGGACAATTTCATTAGAGTTGGTGAATGATGGTTCGAAAAGCTGATAGACAACTTGACATGTAGAAGAGAAATAGTTTTTCAAACATGTCACTTCAAGGGCCAAATAATAAACACAATGTTTATTGACTTGGAATCTTCATTATGGGATATTCTGTCATTTTTGGAATATTGTGAACTAAGCTGAGACAAAGAATATACATTTTGCATGTCCACAAACTAAATTAGACTAGTGGTACTTGTAATTAGTAGAAGAGGCAATATGGAACGATTGTAGGAACATAATTAAGCTGAAATCCATGTATAGAAAGCAAAAGTAAACTAGCTATGGCTTTCATAGTGCTTGTTAGAATACGGAAGAAGAAGAAGAAGAAGAAGAAGAAGAAGAAGAAGAAGAAGAAGAAGATTTCTTCATTTCAGTTTTATGAATTCACACAGAGGAAAATTGCAGGAAACTTTGAATGAAGAGAGGGGATAATACAATTGGGAAGATATGTCAGCTAAAAACAAGTTTACAAAAGTATAAAAAAGGTTTGGTTATCGATATTCATTTCCAAATCACGTCACAGAAATAAAATTTGATAATCCTTATCAGAAGAAAAGAAAGGACTCAATCCAAATCACGTCACTGAATATTCTTTTTTTCAGATGGTACTCAATATTCTGAACAGAATTATCTAAATATCAAATAAACTTATCGGGCATGGAGCATTCAGATATGGTGTCAGTACCTGCAGAGTCTTCGCATTGAAAGGTGACTCTGGCAAGCTACATTTTCAGAACTATTCATGCATTCGATCAACTAACTCAATTAGAGGTTGAATATCCTAGCTTACCCGTTTCATAGATGGGAATTTCTGTTTCTTTTTTCCTGGAAGGGGGGGGGGGGGGGGGTTAGTACGTGGCATGGATTAGGAGAGTAATTGAAAAATGCATTATAAGTTCCAGAGGCAAGCATCGCCTAATAAAATCATACCACCTACTAAGCCACTTACTTGATCATCAACCGTACGTGGTGATTCAGTAGCTTCTGGCATTTCTTCCTGGACTTCTTTAAAAATGTAAAAAGAAAGAAAGTTAGAATCTTTGTTGTGATAGATGCTTAATTCAGGTAAAGGAAAAGAAGATGCGTCCTTTATTCAGTTATATATTACATTATCTTTTGCTGTAAGTGTCGAAGAAGCATTCCTTAAACTGGACTTCCATGGCACTAACAAATTGCTGAAGGAACAAGGTCGGAAATATTGTCATGCAGTCTGCACTACAAACACTGAGAGAGAAACATTTCCATGCTTGTACCTCAGTAAGAGTAGCTGAAAATTCAGGTCTAGTACGTATTAGAACCTAGTAGGTGCTTTACTTAATATTGTGTTAACTGCCTAGTATCTATTCTCCTTTAAACTACTTTTTAAGAAACATTATGAGTGCTAAAAGAGCCAGAAACATGCATTCTGTACCAGAATTTGAGGAACCGTCCTGCTTCAGAACCTTTGGGCTACTGGATTTCCTCTGTAACAGTTTATCCTCCTCAAATTTTGCTTCCTCAGAAGAGCTTTTTGGACTCTCAGACGATGCCCACTTACACAAACTGAAATGCAATTTCTCTAATTCAGGCCCAGCTACATATCAAAAACATTACAGTCGGATTACTACTTTCAATGCGGTTATGTAAACTAGCAGAAGAGAAGTCCCACTACAGAATGAACATGATACAGATAATTTTGTGTGCCGTCAAGTAAAATGCACAAATGCTGCAAAAAAGGTATGGATTTACCATCCAAATTGTTTAACTGCAACGTAGTGGCAGCAGAATGAGATTTGAGGTCAAACAAAGCACTATTGATACGTGAAGCACCCATCGAATGCCTAGCACTCGCCAACTCAAACCATCCCTGCCAGTAAGCAAATGCAAAGTAAATACTATAGCAACTTTATTGGATCGACAGCTGTTATTGCACAAATTTGAATATTCTTCCACTTGCAATCAGCTTAATCAAACTCAAATATTCATTATGAGTAACATATTATATGTACACACACAAAGAATAGCTGCAAATCGATTCACACCAAATTCTGGATCCACAATTAGGGATAGAGAGGATTATAGCTGAACATATACATATCTAATCGTCACAGGTATGGGTACACATTACCCTCCCCAGACCCCACTTTTGGGATTATACTGGTTTTGTTGTTATTGTTATACACATATCTAATTGAGTGATTTTTTCGTTTGGAGAAAAAAAAAATTCAAATCACAATAGAGGGGTAAACTATAAGGAAAGGAAGAAATTGTAACCTGGCGAAGTGACGAAGAGAGAGAATTCATAAGAACTAGATAGCTGTCAGTTGAATCCATAAACTCCAAAACATTCTTATCGTTTTCGTGGACGGAGCTCTGCATTTCTGCAACTTCCACCTTCGCCATATTGAAATCGCAAATCTGTTAAGCTAGGTGTCCTTAATTTAATTCTAGTTTCGTCTCAATGTTGACTTTTTGGCAAATATGGGATAGGTTTATTTTGGTTCCTCAAATATAACCATGAGCATATTTAGTCCCTTAAGTATGCTAAAGTGGAGCACATTTAGTTTCACTGACGCAATGTGTCCAAAAATTAACGGTGTTACCCAACTCTGATTCATGAAGCAAATTTTATGCTCTGAAGCAAAACGTTTCCTCTCCTTTTATTGGATAACGCAAATTATCACTTTAATTCCTCATTTTTAGATAATGTCTTCTAAAATTTTGACCTTGAAAATATCCCCTTTGGTGCCAGTTTTCAATGAGAAAATAACGTTGTATAGCCTCTGTAAAAATAATAGCCGAAAAAATATATAAAATTAGTGTAATTTTTTTTGTATATATATACATTTTGTATGTTAATATACAAAAATTATACAAATTTTATATATTTTTTCGGCTACCAGAAGTAAATAGTTTCTAGCACGGGCTAAAATGATAATACAAATTGGTTGTTCGTTTGCTTCAATAATATGCCTAGAAGTGATCGTGGCAACTCTATTTTTTTCAAATTTTAACTTTTCTTCTTGAAAAAATCAACCGAAATTTTTAAATGTATATATATATACAAAAAAAAATACACAAATTTTATATCTTTTTTCGGCTATTACTTTACTGGCGCTATACAATGTCATTTTCTCATTGAAAACTGGCACAGAAGAAAATAATTTCAAGGTCAAAATTTTAGAAGACATTATATAAAAATAAGGAATTAAAGTGATAATTTGCGTTATCCAATAAAAGGTGAGGAAACGTTTTGCTTCAGAGCAGAGATTTGCTTCATCAATCAGAGTTAGGCAACACTGTTAATTTCTGAACACATTGTGTCAGTGAGACTAAAGGTGCTCCACTTTAGCATACTTAAGGGACTAAATATGCTCAGGGTTATATTTAAGGGACCAAAATAGACCTACCCTCAAAGATAAGGGACAATATTGGTCAAAAGCTCTCTTAATGTTAATACGCCTCAATCCGACCCTGCTGGTGAACTCGTGACAGTTGTATAATTGACCAGCTTACCCTTTCGTCAAAAATCTTGTGAAGACAGAGATTTTGGAACCACAAGGCAGAATGGCTTCATGGCCGCTTAAAATTGTCGAGTTTTTAAAAGCCGATGCATAAACTTTCTACTTTCCCATTTGAACGCTCAAACTCATTTTTCCATAACTAATAAACACATCCGACAAGAGACCATGCGCGCGTGTATTACACATACACATAGTCGTCATCCAGTCAACAAATGACTAATGAATGTCTTACACGTCAAGGGCACGAAAATCCTAACCCCACAGATCTGGGTCTCATCTTTCATTCCATAGACCGGCCCCTCCCCTCATTTAATCTCTCTCTAACCAAACCTTCACTTGTTCATTCCCGGTTCTCTATGTTCCTCTGTTCACGCAAACCTGCAAATTATCCGACCTAAACTATAGCTCCAAATAAAATAAAAATGGAGCTTCAGATTTTAAAACATGGAGGAAGATGATATTTTAGAAGGAATGAATAAGAAGACACTTAAATACAATCCATTTTGTACTGTTGGGCGTTGGGAAGGGTGTTTTCACGCTCCTGTGCATCGTGTTCCTCACGCTGCCTGCTGATTAGGACCAACTGATGCTACATGGACATGATCAATGGTCAAACTTGTTATTAGTTAGGGGAAAAATGAGTTCGAGTGTTCAAATGGAAAAGTTGAAAAATTCTGTATCGGCTTTTAAAACCCCGTCAAGTTTAAGTGGCCAGAAAGTCATTCCGCCTAATTATAATATTGGTTAAGGATTAACAAGAAAGGGCTAAGTTGCTACCACCAAATACAAGTTTAAATTATTTTATCAAAGAGAAAAAGGATTTTATTTCTTTATATTTCTTTCTTCAAAGATTTTGAAAAATGCAAAACTATTTTCTTTTCTACCAAACAATTTTCGTAAACAAGAAATGAAAGAGCAACCACATGAAGATGTTTGCTTAATTGAGTAGGTCTCATTTATACACGAGAATCTCAGTAGTTCAACTGATTGACTATTAAATTTTCATCTTGTTGATAAGAGTTCATTTCTTCACTTTTGTTTGACTTAAAATGTTGCGCCGAACAATATTTAAGCAAATCAATCAAATGTATAAAAAGGGGTAAATCATAGCCAACCATAATTAATACCGAATTAAGAACTGAAGCAATAGGATAGCAAACGTAATAGAGATGACATTCAAGAGACTTTATTGATCATGAAAATTGGCCCTGCCTCTCCTTAGAGAGGTTCAGGGAATAGTAATCCATTTTCTATCCTCCAGATCGATCCTGCCTTTTTTGGGAGAGGTTCAAGGAACCCGTTTATCTCTCTTCTTCTGGGGCTTCTTCTTTTTTGGAGAAGGGATATTCTTTTCCTTTCTTGAGAAGGAGAGAGAGAGAGAGAGGGAGAGAGAATACCTCAAAATATCTGGAGAGCTCCCCTTAAAACAACTCTTTTCTTCCCTACTTAGAGTTGGGGCCTCACGCCCATTGGGCCTTCTTTTGGTCGACCAGGTAGAGGGGGCGACCTCAACGCTTGCTTCGTATTTGATGCGGATTGGGCGAGGTCAGGTTCGCTGGTCATTGCTTTGGGGAGCGTACTTGAGACGGGGTCGATACCACGACGGTCGATTGGTCAGATTTCTGACCGATACACTAGGTAAAGTTTACCATGCATTCAGTAGATTTAGCTAGTTTTTTCACTTCCCTTATCCTAATTGGATATTTATGCTATAAATAGGTTTGTTTTATATGGGCAAAACTGGAAGATCAACATTATTGCATGATTTGTTATTTATCCCCTTATACAGTTAGTTAACTACACTAAAAAGGATAGTATAGTTAAAAACTCATTATATTTCTCCACAAAAAAAAAAAAAATTCTTCCTAAACTACCTCAAAGTACAAGACTACACCAATCAGATTGATGTACTTGCTAATTATAAGTTCACGTTTAAAAACATTATCGAACAATTAAATAGTAAAGACTTCCATTATAATGAAGTTTAAAGAGATTAAAACTGGAGTGAATACATGAATTAAATTTAAAAAGAGAAATTGAATCAGAGAGATTAAATAAAGGGGGAGACGAACGGATTCGTGATAAGTGCAGGAGTCTTCAGGGTTATCATCCTCAGTGAAGGTGGCGTTGCAACCGATCCTCTGGCATCGAAGTCTCTCCATTACTGAATGCCGATTCTCTAGAAACTACTGTTAATCTGTTACTCTCGTAATGGTATTAGTCTTCCCCAGAGTCTTTCTTTTTCCTTTTTGCCCCCAAATTTATTTCTGGGGATCTGGGTTTACATATTGGCCCATTTTGCTTATTTTCCGTTTATAAGGAATGATAAAACTTTATTCTCTATATTTACGTTAAATTAAATAATTTTATACTCTATTTTTTAATTTAAATGACATACTTTTCTTTTTTAGTATGTCTAAATAAATTACTTTATATATTTGAAATAATTTAATTTTAAAAATTTCTTTTAACTTTAATGAAATAATTTACAGCCAAATAAATATTTGGCTGAAATAATATAATAAAAGAAGAAGAGTATTGCAGAGAAAAGTAGAGAGAGAATTCTTATTGATTTGGAATAAATTAGAATGAAATAGAACCCCTCTATTTATAGGGAAAAAAATGACTTAGCTATAAAGTAACAAACTCTAAAAGCTCTCTAAAAGATAGACATTCACTATAAAATAAAATATTATTATAACATTCCCCCTTGAATGTCTATTCAACAAATAATATTTCTCATTAAAACCTTAACTAAAATAAAACCCAGTTGAAAAAAATTTCTAGTTAGGAAAAAGGGTACACATATCTAACAATACACCTTTTGGTTGAATCGTTAAAAATATTGTAAGTAAAATCCAGTGGGACAATATCTTGTAAGGGAAAAATAGTACAATGCGTAATAACTTCCTTGTTGAGACAATCAATTTACATTTTTTAGCTATTGATTAGTTATTTTCCTTAATTAACTATATATTCGTTCTTTAAGTGTCAAGTTGTAAGAACAAATGTATATAAATAGATAAATAAATAAATAAATACATAAGTTATCCGTTAAACTTGTCCAAAAAAATTATTTAACCACCTTAACTTTACGACGACCTCTAACTCTTATTCTTATTCGAATTGGAATTAATGGAAGTGGCTCCCCTGAGTCCCCTCCATCCAGGGTTGAGATCCCCTCCAGTATTCTTTGGTCTAGTTTTTCTCAATGGATTTGTAAGATACTGCCACGTCTGTTGTCAAAGTTGTAAAGGCCAAGATCTTCCTGATATTCTAAAACTCATTTTATATTTTTTTCAAAAGCAAACAACTCATTTCTTAACTTCTCTTGTGAACTTTCGATTGACGCAAGTAACATAGCCCATGATTTTAACTAGTCTCAAGGTTTCATTTTTAAAGCTTACGAGTTAGGATTGGATACTTCTCTTAGCTCTACAACGATTCTTGTATTTTGTATTTGTTGGTTTGATATAGAACAAAATTTCACAATCTCAACAAATTCACATTTCTAAGAGGACAAGCGAACAAAAACAAAAATCCCAAAAAATTTCAAAAGAAGTATTTCATTTGACTTGTAAAGAAAACTACAAAGATGAGGAGAAGAAAGAGCATATGATTTCCAGTCTAAATGAACTGAAGAACGAAAGGAAAGGGAAAAGAAGAATAGAAGTTAGAACTATGGATTCATGTATTTACTGCCGTCGAAGTTCACTGTAATGGTCCAAAAAATAAGGTTACAACGACAACAACAACGACGGCCTAGTAAAATCTCACAAAGTGGGATCTGGGGAGGGTAGTGTGTACGCAGACCTTACCCCTATCCCGATGGGGCAGGGAGGCTGTTTCCGATAGACGCTCGGTTCAGGAAGACGGATAGAAAATAAGAAGAGACAATATATCAGTATTGTCAACAAAAACCATAAAAATCGTA